AAGAGAACAGGATACAAGGAAAAGATTAGTCCAAAGGACTAATGGACCACAGGTACCACGGCCTCCACCAGACTGAGTCCAGTACAGCTAGATGGTGCCTGGCTACCACCACTGACTGTTCTGACCAGGATCACAACAGAGTCCCCTGGACAGAGCTGGAGAAGGACGTGGAACAAAATTCTAACACACAAAAAAAGACCAGATTTACTGGCCTGACAGACTGGAGAAACCCCAAGAGTATGGCCCCCAGACACCCTTTTAGCTCAGTGGTACAGTTGCTCCCGAGGTTCCTGGCTCAGCCGGGGACTGGACAGCCCCATAAAACAAAAGGGGACTAATGAGACACAGAAGTCCAGGGACAAGGACTAGATGGCAGGAGGGGACAGGAAAGCTGGTGATAGGGAACCCAAGGTTGAGAAAGAACAGTGTTGACATGTCTTGGGGTTGTTAACGACTGTCATAGGGCAATGTGTGTACTTACTGTTTAAAGAGAAACTATTCTGTTCTGTAAACTTTCATCTAAAGTACAAAAAAAAAAAAAGAATTATCTATATGAGATCAAACTGACAACAGCAACTCAAAAGGTTTGATGAGAAGCCTAAGGGGCAGTGAGTTGAAGATAATGATGGAACAATTTGGAAAAGGACAGTGAGAACAGCAGCACAACTGGAAGAACGTAACAATGTCACTGAATTGCATATGTGGAAATTTTTGAAATGGTCTCTCTCTGGCTATGTATATTTTCATACACATACACATACACACACACACACACACACACACACACACAAAAGGTCCTCCAAGGTCAAGAAGGGAGAGTGCTGACATGTTAACCAATGTCATAAAACAATATGCGTATTGATTGTGTAATGAAAAACTGTTCTGAAAACCTTCACCAAAAGCATAATTAAAAAAAAAAAATTTGTATTCCACCTAATCCATATATGGTTTTTGAGACATCAAGCATTTTCATTTGCCTTTGAATGTCCAGACTAAATTTTTTTAGTCAGATCCCAGCTTCTTCCAACTCTCTGATTATTTTAACTGCCCCTTTCTAGGGGTATTTTGTTATCCCTGAGGCATAGCTACCAAAACTATATACAATATGGTAACCTGTTGCTATCCAGTCCGACTCATAGTGACTTTTACGGATTGAATTGTGTCCCCCAAAAATGTGTGTCAACTTGGCTAGGCCATGATGCCCAGTATTGTGTGACTGTCCACCATTTTGTCATCTGATATGATTTTCCTATGTGTTGTAAATCCTACCTATATGACATTAACGAGGCAGGATTAAAGGCAGTTATGTTAATGAGGCAGAACTCAATCTACAAGATTAGGTTTTGTTTTGAGTCAATCTCTTTTGAGATATAAAAACAGAGAAGCAAGCAGAGAGACAGGGGGACCTCATACCATCAAGAAAGCAGTGCCAGGACCAGAGGGTGTCCTTTGGACCTGGGGTCCCTGCGCTGAGAACTCCTAGTCCAAAGGAAGATTGATGATAAGGACCTTCCTCCAGAACCGAAAGAAAGAGAAAGCCTTCCCCTGAGCTGACGCCCTGAATTTGGACTTCTAGCCTACCAGACTGTGAGAGAATGAACTCCTGTTTGTTGAAGCCATCCACTTGTGGTATTTGTTATAGCAACACTAGAAAACTAAGGCAGTGACCCTATAGGATAGAGCAAAACTACCCCATAGGACTTCCAAGGCTGTAATCTTTATGGAAGCACACTGCCACATCCTTCTCCTGTGGAGCGGCTAGCGGGTTTGAACTGCCAACCTTTTGGTTGGCAACCAAGTGCTTAACCACGGCGCCCAGGGCTCCCTATATATAATATGCTAGGTAATAACAAACCAGTGGTTTTAGAAAATATTCTAATCATGTTTTATTTCCAGTGTATCTATCACAGGTCCTCATTACTTAATGGGCCTTGTTGACAGCAGCATCATACTAGATGAAGGTCACTACGAGTTAACAGTAGCTTTTAAAATGTGTTTTGAGATGCTTTAGTCTTTTATAGTATAGAGGTTTCAAGAACCCATTGGGC